AGCAGTTTTAAACTAGATAGAGAAATACTGGAACGAGTAATTTGAGAGAATAAAATCCCTTAGGCCTATGAAATTTTCTCTCTATTTTACCCTAACACTTACTAGTGAAGTTATTTGGTTTCACTGATAAACACATTAACGGATGCATAGGTTGAAAGCCTATCTACTGCATGGGGTCATTATTGTGTGTGTATGTTTGACGTTAAGGTCATACTTGCCAGATATAAGAATGTTAATATTCCAACTGTGTGTGTACTCACCTAGTTGTGGTTTCAGGGGTCGATTCTAAGCTCCTGACCCCACTTCATCGCTAGTAGCTACTAGATCCACTCTCTCCCTGCTCCATTAGCTTTGTCATACCTCTTCTTAAAACACTGGACGCTGTCTTCACTACATCACTTTCCAAATTGCTCCACTTCCTGAAAACTTCACGACTGAAGAAGTATTTCGTAACATCCCTGTGACTCCTCTGAATTTTCAACTTCCAGCTGTGACCCCTTGTTGCTGTGTCCCATCTCTTGAACATTCTGCCTCTTTCCACCATGTCAATTCCTCTCAGTATTTTATATATCGTTATCATGTCCCCCTTATCCTTTCTGTCCTTCAGTATCATCAGGTTAATTTCCCTTAACCTCTCCTCGTAGGACATACCTCTTAGCTCTGGGACTAGTCTTGTTGCAAACCTTTGCACTATTCCCTAATTTCTAGACGTGCTTGACCAGGTGTGGGTTCCACACTGGTGCCGCATACTCCAATACAGGCCTGACGTACATGGTGTACAGATTATTTAATAAAGAATCCTTACTAAGATGTCTAAATGCTATTCCAAGGCTTGATAGACGCCTGTATGTTGCAGCAGTTATTTGGTTGATGTGTGCCTCAGGAGATGTGCTGGGTATGATGCTCACCCAAGATCCTTTCCCTTAGGCGAGGTCTGAAGCCTTTGATCCTCAATCGTGTACTCAGTCTGTGGTCTTCTTTATCCTTCCCCAAGCTTCATTACTTTATACTTGGTGGAGTTAAACTCCAGGAGCCAGTTGTTGGACCAGGTTTGCAGCCTGTCCAGATCCCTTTGTAGTCCTACATGATCCTCTTCCACTTGTATTCATATTAATTCTGTACCATCAGCGAACAGGGACACTTATGACTCTCCCATCTGTCATTTCATTCACATATACCGGAAACAGGACTGACCCTTGTGGAACCCCACTCGACACATGTGCCCACTCTGACACCTCGTCACATACCATCACTTGTTGTTTCCTTCCTGTCAGGTATTTTCTGATCCAAGGCAGTGATTTTCCTCTTATTTCTGCCTGCACCTCTAACTTTTGCACTAGTGTTTTGTGTGGTACTGTGTTGTCTTATAGCCCAAGAAAACACAATCTACCCATCTCTTTCCTGTCTTGTTACGTTGTCACTGACCTTCAGTAGGTTTGTGACACACGATTTTCCATCCGTGAAGCTGTGTATGTCATGTATAAGTTAATTCCCTTCAACGTGCTCCACCACTCTTCTGATAATCTTCTCCATGACTTTACATACATGTCAGTGACACTGACATGTATGTAAAGTGTTGTCTGTCTCCTTAAAATCTAGAACTACATTTGCTGTCTTCCACACCTTAGGTAGTTGCCCAGTTTCAATAGATTTATTGAAAATTGTTGTTAACGGTGCACACAGTGCCTCTGCTCACTCTAACAAGATACCTCTTCGAGGTATCTGGTTCACCTAGCACTTTCTTCACCTCCTCGGTGTGTCCAGCACTTGCTGATGCACCTTACCCCGTCTGCTTGCTAGAAGCCTTTCTGTCTCCACTGTAAATACTTGAATGAAAATAAATGGTATAAAATACCGACACAATGGTAACAAACACATATGCAGTTTAATGGGATCCTTTATTGACAACGTTTGTGACTTGAAAAAGCCCACTGAGTGGGCGAAAAGTTGTCAATAAAGGATCCCATTAAACTGCATATGTGTTTATGTTTCCAGTGAATACTTGAATCTTGAGCTAAGCTCTTCACATACTTCCTGGTCACTCCCTGTGGCTTCTGTCCTTCCTTCATTCTGATTACCTGATCCATGACTGTTGTTTTCCACCTGATGTGGCTATATAACAACTTTGGGTCAGATTCGGGTTCTATGCCATGTTATTCTCGTACTGCCTCTACGTTTCTCTCCTTATCCATGCATAATCATTTCTGGCTCCTCGCCTCAACTACTTGTTTTCCTGAGTCCTTTGTCTTCTACACTTTTTCCATGCTCTAGCACACTTAGTTTTAGCCTCTCCATACAGGGTAAACCAAGAGCTCACTCTGGTCTTCCCATTGTTTCTGCTGTCTCTTAGTATGAACTTCTCTGCCTCCCTGATTTTGTAGTTATGTATTCTATAATTTTATTTACTGTCTTTCCTTCTAGTTCTCTTCCCACTGCACCTCACGCAGTGTGTGTACTCACCTAACTGTACTCACCTAATTGTGGTTGCAGGGGTAGAGTCATAGCTTCTGGCCCTGCCTCTTCACTGGTTGCTACTTGGTCACTCTTCCTGCTCCATGAACTCTATCATACCTCTTCTTAAAGCTATGTAGGGATCCTGCCTTCACTACATCCCTTCCCAGACTATTCCACTTCCTGACAACTCTGTGACTGAAGAAATACTTCCTAACATCCCTGTGATTCATCCGAGTCCTCAACTTCCAACTGTGACCCCTTGTTGCTGTGTCCAATCTTTGGAACATCCTGTCTCTGTCCACCTTGTCGATTCCTCTCAGTATTTTATATGCTGTTATCATATCCCATCTCTCCTGTCGTCCAGTGTCATCAGGTCGATTTCCCTTAACCTCTCCTCATAGGACATGCCCCTTAGCTCTGGGACTAGTCTTGTTGCAAACCTATGCACTTTCTCTAGTTTCCTTACGTGCTTGGCTAGGTGCTGATTCCAAACTGGTGCTGCATACTCCAATATAGGCCTAACATACACAGTATACAAGGTCCTGAATGATTTATTAAGATGTCAGAATGCTGTTCTTAGGTTTGCTAGGTGTCCGTATGCTGCAGCAGTTATTTGGTTGATGTGCACCTCAGATGTGCCCGGTTTTATACTCACCCCAAGATCCTTTTTCTTGAGTGAGGTTTGAAGTCTCTGCCTCCCTAGACTGTACTCCATCTGTGGTCTTCTTTACTCTTCCCAATGTTCATGACTTTGCACTTGGTGGGGTTGAACTCCAGGAGCCAGTTGTTGGACCAGGCCTGCAGCCTGTCCAGATCCCTTTGTAGTTCTGCCTGGTCCTCGTCCAATTGAATTCTTCTCATCAACTTCACATCATCTGCAAACAGGGACACTTCTGAGTCTATTCCTTCCGTCATGTCATTCACAAATACCAGAAACAGCACTGGTCCTAGGACTGACCCCTGTGAAACCCCGCTCGTCACAGGTGCCCACTCTGACACCTTGCCACATACCATGACTCACTTTTGTCTTCCTGATAGGCATTTCCTGATCCACTGCAGTGCCTTCCCTGTTATCCCTGCCTGGTCCTCCAGCTTTTGCACTACTTCCTTGTGTGGAACTGTATCATATGCCTTCTTACAGTCCAAGAAGATGCAATTTACCCACCTCTCTCTCTCTTGTCTTACTGCTGTCACCCTGTCATAAAACTCCAATAGGTTTGTGACACGGGATTTCCCATCCCTGAAACTGTGCTGGCTGTCGCTGTTAAGCTCATTCCTTTCCAGGTGCTCCACCACTCTTCTGATAATCTTCTCCATGACTCTGCATACTATACATGTCAGTGACACTGGTCTGTAGTTTAATGCTTGGTGTCTGTCTCCTTTTATAAAAATTAGGCCTACATTGCTGTCTTCCATACCTCAGGCAGTCGCCCTGTTTCTACAGATGTGTTGAATATCGTTGTTAGTGGTATACACATCACCTCTGCTCCCTCTCTCAGGACCCATGGAGAGATGTTATCCAACTCTATCCCCTTTAAGGTATCTAGCTCACGTAGCAACCTTCTCACTTTTTCCTGTGTTGTGTATATTGTGTCCAACACTTAATAGTGTACCCCACCTCTCAGTCTTTCTGAAGTCCCTTCTGTCTCTGCTGTGTGTGTGTGTGTGTGTGTGTGTGTGTGTGTGTGTGTGTGTGTGTGTGTGTGTGTGTGTGTGTGTGTGTGTGTGTAATATGCCTGTGACTGCTTCCCAGAGTCCCTCTCCTGGAAGAATAACTTGAGGCCAGAGTTAAGTGACTGCATGATCAAGGTAATAACACAATTCTGAACAATAAGATCACAAAACACCTTATTAACAAGGTAACAGGACTTGCCTTATTCTTAATAGCATTCCTTCTAAAGAATGCCTTACAAGACTCGCAGGTAATAGCATTGAAGTTGTATCCCAGAGCTCTGTCTCCACACACTCCACACTTCTTCGAGTCAGGTCTCTGCTTACTCGCCGATGTTGAAGCCTCCTCCTGTTGTGTCGGCGAGCTGACCGAGTCTTCCCCTCCAGGAGAAGCTAGGCTGTCCTCCATCATGCCCCCAGTACCCACAGGCCAACCAGCAGGTACCCAGTAGGTGTTATCCTCAGTCACATACCTGAAACAAAGTTATCATTTTGACTTTCACTTCCTAACAAGGAAAATATCTGTTTTTAAGAGTCGACAATATCTTAGGACTCATGTTGGATTTAAATTGGTGAAAGTCACATTTAGAAACAAAGTTTGGGACACTTGTGGAAACGTTTCACCAACGAGTAGCTTCCTCAGTCCAGAACAGAGATGAATGATGTAAGATGAGGAGTTTGAGGTAATCAGTCCCTCAGCATTGAATTGATGTGTTCAGTCCATCAATCATAACAAGCAAATTATTATCTGCTCTTAAGAGTTGAAAATATCTAAGACAGGGCTCATAACAATTAGATTCAACTTGAAGAAAGTTAGATTTAGATTTAGAAGTATTTAGGATCAACTGTTAATAAATAACTGTACAATGGAACAAACTGCCAAGAGCATTAAGGCAAGAACACTGTATAGCAGTTTAATGTGAGCTAGACCTGCCTAGCATATGTCTGCTGTTTCTGTCATGATCTACACTAAGACTGCTTGCTAGGCTGACAGCCTAGCAAGCAGTCTCACCTAGGCTGACAACCTAGGTGAGACTGTTCAAGTACTATCACATGACACGAGAGCAACTGACACAGAGGCTCACCTCCCTTTTCACGAGGACAGCTTTTTTAACTTCAACAGGTCATTACCATTTCCCTAGAATGGCCTTTGGTCTACACTCGTCACCTATCACCTGGCCTCATAGGTAATGCACTCGTGGCGTACAGGTGGCCCCACTTAACAGTTTTGCTAATGCAGAGGATTTCAATTATATTCATTCATTATTTATTCAGACTTCCTACAATAAATATACGATCAGTTCCCAATGCGACCAATTATGTAAGTGTATTTATGTAAGTGCATTTGTACGTGTATGTTTGGGGGTCTGAAATAGACTAATCTAATTCACAATATTCCTTATGGGAACAAATTCGTTAAGTACTGGCACCTGAACATACTTCTGGAATGAAATAATATCGTAAACCGGGGGTCCACTGTATTCGCCACTCACTAATAGCTAGGGACAAAAATAATTTAAAGTAATATGAATGCTGTATATGCACTTTTAGGGCATAGCTTTATTGATCACTTAATATATGATAGTGTAAGCATATTATCAGGCTTTTATATGCATCTGAAACTGAAAAGAAACTATGTTTCACTTTACAGCAGTAGCCTTGAGCCTAGCCTGCTGTATAAGCAGGGCCCTCCTGTACAGTAATAGCCAAGAACACAAAATGCTGTATAAGCAGGGCCCTCCTGTACAGTAGTAGCCAAGAACACAAAATGCTGTATAAGCAGGGCCCTCCTGTACAGCAGTAGCCTGGAACCTAACCTGCTGTATAAGCAGGGTCCTCCTGTACAGCAGTAGCCTGGGACCTAACCTGCTGTATAAGCAGGGCCCTCCTGTACAGCAACAGCCTGGAACCTAGCCTGCTGTATAAGCAGGGCCCTCCTGTGCAGCAGTAGTCCAGAACCTAACCTGCTGTATAAGCAGGGCCCTCATGTACAGTAGTAGCCTGGAACCTAACCTGCTGTATAAGCAGGGCCCTCCTGTACAGCAGTAGCCCAGAACCTAACCTGCTGTATAAGCAGGGCCCTCCTGTACAGTAGCAGCCCAGAACCTAACCTGGTGTATAAGTAGGGCCCTCCTGTACAGCAGTAGCCTGGAACTTAACCTGCTGTGTAAACAGGGTCCTCCTGTACAGCAGTAGCCTGGAACTTACCCTGCTGTATAAACAGGGCCCTCCTGTACAGCAGTAGCCTGGAACTTACCCTGCTGTATAAACAGGGCCCTCCTGTACAGCAGTAGCCTGGAACTTAACCTGCTGTATAAACAGGGCCCTCCTGTACAGCAGTAGCCTGGAACTTACCCTGCTGTATAAACAGGGCCCTCCTGTACAGCAGTAGCCTGGAACTTAACCTGCTGTATAAACAGGGCCCTCCTGTACAGCAGTAGCCTGGAACTTAACCTGCTGTATAAACAGGGCCCTCCTGTACAGCAGTAGCCTGGAACTTAACCTGCTGTATAAACAGGGTCCTCCTGTACAGCAGTAGCCTGGAACTTACCCTGCTGTATAAACAGGGCCCTCCTGTACAGCAGTAGCCTGGAACTTAACCTGCTGTGTAAACAGGGCCCTCCTGTACAGCAGTAGCCTGGAACTTAACCTGCTGTGTAAACAGGGCCCTCCTGTACAGCAGTAGCCTGGAACTTAACCTGCTGTGTAAACAGGGCCCTCCTGTACAGCAGTAGCCTGGAACTTAACCTGCTGTATAAACAGGGCCCTCCTGTACAGCAGTAGCCTGGAACTTACCTTGCTGTATAAACAGGGCCCTCCTGTACAGCAGTAGCCTGGAACTTAACCTGCTGTGTAAACAGGCCCCTCCTGTACAGCAGTAGCCTGGAACTTAACCTACTGTATAAACAGGGCCCTCCTGTACAGCAGTAGCCTGGAACTTACCCTGCTGTATAAACAGGGCCCTCCTGTACAGCAGTAGCCTGGAACTTAACCTGCTGTGTAAACAGGGCCCCTCCTGTACAGCAGTAGCCTGGAACTTAACCTGCTGTGTAAACAGGGCCCTCCTGTACAGCAGTAGCCTGGAACTTAACCTGCTGTGTAAACAGGGCCCTCCTGTACAGCAGTAGCCTGGAACTTAACCTGCTGTATAAACAGGGCCCTCCTGTACAGCAGTAGCCTGGAACTTACCTTGCTGTATAAACAGGGCCCTCCTGTACAGCAGTAGCCTGGAACTTAACCTGCTGTGTAAACAGGCCCCTCCTGTACAGCAGTAGCCTGGAACTTAACCTGCTGTATAAAACAGGGCCCTCCTGTACAGCAGTAGCCTGGAACTTACCCTGCTGTATAAACAGGGCCCTCCTGTACAGCAGTAGCCTGGAACTTAACCTGCTGTGTAAACAGGGCCCTCCTGTACAGCAGTAGCCTGGAACTTAACCTGCTGTGTAAACAGGGCCCTCCTGTACAGCAGTAGCCTGGAACTTAACCTGCTGTGTAAACAGGGCCCTCCTGTACAGCAGTAGCCTGGAACTTAACCTGCTGTATAAACAGGGCCCTCCTGTACAGCAGTAGCCTGGAACTTACCTTGCTGTATAAACAGGGCCCTCCTGTACAGCAGTAGCCTGGAACTTAACCTGCTGTGTAAACAGGCCCCTCCTGTACAGCAGTAGCCTGGAACTTAACCTGCTGTATAAACAGGGCCCTCCTGTACAGCAGTAGCCTGGAACTTACCCTGCTGTATAAACAGGGCCCTCCTGTACAGCAGTAGCCTGGAACTTAACCTGCTGTGTAAACAGGACCCTCCTGTACAGCAGTAGCCTGGAACTTAACCTGCTGTGTAAACAGGGCCCTCCTGTACAGCAGTAGCCTGGAACTTAACCTGCTGTGTAAACAGGGCCCTCCTGTACAGCAGTAGCCTGGAACTTAACCTGCTGTATAAACAGGGCCCTCCTGTACAGCAGTAGCCTGGAACTTACCTTGCTGTATAAACAGGGCCCTCCTGTACAGCAGTAGCCTGGAACTTACCCTGCTGTATAAACAGGGTCCTCCTGTACAGCAGTAGCCTGGAACTTACCCTGCTGTATAAACAGGGCCCTCCTGTACAGCAGTAGCCTGGAACTTACCCTGCTGTATAAACAGGGCCCTCCTGTACAGCAGTAGCCTGGAACTTACCCTGCTGTATAAACAGGGTCCTCCTGTACAGCAGATAGCCTGGAACTTACCCTGCTGTATAAACAGGGCCCTCCTGTACAGCAGTAGCCTGGAACTTACCCTGCTGTATAAACAGGGTCCTCCTGTACAGCAGTAGCCTGGAACTTACCCTGCTGTATAAACAGGGCCCTCCTGTACAGCAGTAGCCTGGAACTTACCCTGCTGTATAAACAGGGCCCTCCTGTACAGCAGTAGCCTGGAACTTACCCTGCTGTATAAGCAGGGCCCTCCTGTACAGCAGTAGCCTGGAACTTACCTTGCTGTATAAACAGGGACCCTCCTGTACAGCAGTAGCCTGGAACTTACCTTGCTGTATAAACAGGGACCCTCCTGTACAGCAGTAGCCTGGAACTTACCCTGCTGTATAAACAGGGACCCTCCTGTACAGCAGTAGCCTGGAACTTACCTTGCTGTATAAACAGGGCCCTCCTGTACAGCAGTAGCCTGGAACTTACGTTGCTGTATAAACAGGGACCCTCCTGTACAGCAGTAGCCTGGAACTTACGTTGCTGTATAAACAGGGACCCTCCTGTACAGCAGTAGCCTGGAACTTACCTTGCTGTATAAACAGGTACATAGACAACGTAATCGTTATGCCCGAAAACGTGGAAACACATCTTAAAAGACTTGATTTAGTAGTCGGTAAGCTTGAAGAAGCTAATTTAAAGATAAACCTCTTCTAATGTCAGATTTTCAGATCAGTGATCAAGTTTCTTGGTGACGTAGACACTGTCTAAAATTTTTAGACTCCAAAAACTACTGATGTAGTAAAATCCTTTGTAATCTTAACAGGAATCTATATAACCTTCAGTGCCAGTTTTTCTCCTCTTGCAGTTACTCTGAGTTATTTGAGAAGGATTATCCTTGTATCTGGACCTTCCATCAACAATGACTGTTTTAACATACAAAGAAAAAGGTAATTTCTGCTCCTGTTTTGGTATTCCCAGATTGTTCCAAAGCTTTTTAACCACAGATGCTACTTCCATCAGCATAGATTCCGTCCAGGCTCAACACACTGGTAGCAAGTGGAGCCCAGCTGCAATTGCAAGACTAGCAGTTGCACTTGCAGTTGCAAATGAATGGTATAAAATACCGACACAATGGAAACAAACACATATGCAGTTTAATGTGATCCTTTATTGACAACGTTTCGCCCACACAGTGGTCTTTTTCAAGACCTCAACATTCTGAACCTGACTATAAATACTCACGTACCTTCCACCCCAGGTAGATCTGTTTGTGACTTGAAAAAGCCCACTGTGTG